GAGCCACAAAAGACTCCAAATAACCAAAGCATTACTGAATAATTAACAAAGCTGGAGGTATCACATAATGGAGCTTCAAAATACACTACAAAAGCGTAATAGCCAAGACAGCATGGTACTAGCATGAAAGCAGACACACAGAAGAATGAGACAGAATACAAAACCCAGATATAAATCCACATATTTACAGTCAGCTCATGTCTGAGAAAGGTGCCAAGAATATATATTAGAGAAAAGACAGTCTCTTCAAAAAATAGTGCTGCATTTGCTAGTATCCATATGCAGAAGAAAGAACTAACCCCTATCTCTCACCATATATAAAAATAAACTCTTGATGAATTAAAGGCTAAAATGTAAAACCTGAAACTATAAAGCTACTAGAAGAAAACATAGGAAAAATGCTTCAGGACATTGGACTGGGCAATAATTTTTTTAAATATATGATTTCAAAACCATGGACAACAAAAGCAGAAATGGACACGTGATTATATCAAACTGAAAAGCTTTTGCACAGCAAAGGAAATAATTAACAGAGTGAAGAGGTAACTTACAGAATGGGAGAAAATATTTGCAAACTATACATCTGACTAGATATTCATATAAGGAACTCAAACAGCTCAAGAGTGAAAAACCCAAATAATCCAATCACAAAAGGGAAGATAGATTTCTTTTTTTTTTTTTTTTTTTTTTTTTTTGAGACAGAGTCTCGCTCTGTCACCCAGGCTGGAGTGCAATGGCACAATCTCCGCTCACTGCAACGTCGGCCTCCTGGGTTCAAGTGATTCTCCTGCCTCAGCCTCCCGAGTAACCGATTACAGGCACCTGCCGCCATGCCCAACTAATTTTTATATTTTTAGTAGAGATGGGGTTTCACCAGGTTGGCCAGGCTGGTCTCTAACTCCTGACCTCAGGTGATCCATTCAGCCTCCCAAAGTGCTGGGATTACAGGCACGAGCCACCGTGCCCGGCCAAGATGATAGACCTTATAGACATTTCTCAAAAGAAAACATACAAATGAACAACAGACATATAAAAACTGTTCAATATCACTAGTCATCAGGGAAATGCAAATAAAAACTACAATTAGATAAAACATTACTCAAGTTAAAATTGCTATTATCAAAAAGACAAAAGATAACAATTGTTGTTGATGTGGAGAAAAGGAACACTTGCACACCACTGGTGGGATTTTAAATTAGTATGTTCATTATGAAAAACAGTATGGAGATTTCTCAAAAAATTAAAAATGAAACTACCATAGATCCAGCAAAGTACTGAGTATATCCAAAAGGAAGAAAATCAACATATTAAAGAGACCTGCACTCCTATGTGTATTTCAGTACTATTCACAATAGCTAAGATATGGAATCAACCTAAGTGTTTATTAACAAATTAATGAAAAGGAAATATGACGTATATACAAAATAGAATATTATTCAGTAATAAAAAGAGTGAAATCCTATTATTTGCAACAACATGGATGAACTTAGAAGACACTATGTTAAGTACATTAAACCATACATGATCTCACCCATATGTAGAATCCAATAAATGTATCTCATAGAGGTAAAGAACCTAGAAGACATTATGTTAAGTAAATTAATCCAGACACAGAAATACAAATACCACATGATCTCACCCATATACGGAATCCAAAAAGTTTATCTGATAGAAGTAGAGAAGTGGGGTTACCAGAGAGTGCTGAAGCTGGGGATAGGGTAGAGGGAGGAATGGAGAAATGGTGTCCTATTGCATAGCAGAGTGACTATAGTTAACAAGAATGTATAGTATATTTCAGAATAGCTAGAAGAGAGGATTTTGAATGTTCTCACCACAAAGACACGACAAGTGTTTGAGGTGATGGAAATGATCTTCACACAATATATACATGTATCACAACATCACATTGTACCACATAAATACATACAGTTATTATGTGGAAATTAAAATTCTTTTAAAAAGCTGATCTCATAGAAGTAGAAAGTGGAACAGTAGTTACTAGAGGCTGGTAAGGGTAGAGGGATTGCGGGGGATGAGGAGAGGTTGATCAGGCACAAAATTACATTTAAATGGCAACAATAAGTTCTAGTCTTCCACTGCACAGTAGGGTAACTATAATTACCAATTACATATTACATATCTCAGAATAGCTAGAAAGGAGGATTTTGAATGTTCTCACCTTAAAGAAATGATTAATGTTTTAGGTGATACCTTAATTTGATCATTACATATTATATACATATATCAAAACACCATTTTGTACTGTAAATATGAACAATTATTACGTCAATACGAAGTAAAATAAAACTTAAAAAATTGAACACAAATAAAGAAAATATATTCTATGTTCAGGAATTGGAACAATTAGCACTGTTAAAATGTTCATACTACCCAAAGCTATCTACAGATTCAACACAATCTCTCTCAAGATTCTAATGTCACTTTTCACAGATAAAGAAAAAAGCAATCCTTAAATTCATATGGAACCACAAAATAACTCAAACAGCCAAAGCAATCTTGAGCAAAAGTAACAAAGTTGGAGCCCCTATACTCTGATTTCAAAATATAAAGTGATTATAATTAAAACATCCTGGGGCTGGCACAAAAGCAGACACATGACTCAATGGAACAGGATGGAAAGTTTAGAAATACACCCATGTGTTTATGAACAATTGATTTTTTAAAAAGGTGCCAAGAACACAGGATGAAGAAAGGACAGTCTCTTCAACAAATGATATTGAAACAAGTGGATATCCACATGCACACGTAGGAAGCTGAACCCTTATCTCACACCATGTACAAAAATGAACTCAAATTAGATTAAAAAGTTAAATGTAAGACCTGCAACTATAAAACTACTAGAAGAAAACATATGGCAAAGCTCCATGATACTGATCTTGGCAATAATATTTTTGAATATGCCATAAAAAGCATAGACAACAAAAGCAAAAATAGGCAAATGGGATTACATCAAACTAAAAAGCTTCTGTACAGCAAAGAAAACAGTAAACAAGGTGAAGGACAACCCACAGAGTGAGAGAAAATACTTGCAAACCAAACAGCTGATAGGGGATTAATATACAAAATATATAAGAAATTCAAACAGCTCAATAGCAAGAAAACAAATAACCCGATCTTAAAAATGGGCAAAGACCTAAACAAACACTTCTCAAAATAATATTTAAGTGGACAACAGGGAGGGTGTATGCTTGCGTTAACTCTCTTCTTCCACCTAGTTGCACTCCTGAGAGCAAGATGGCCACCAGCAGCTGTACTGGAGCCACCCGTGAAAATTCGGTCAGGGTCCTTCTCTTGTCGAGTCTGCTCAAACCGGCACGGTCTGATCCGGAAATACGGCCTCAATATGTGCTGGAAGTGTTTCCATCAGTACGCAAAGGATATAGGTTTCATTAAGATGGACTAAGTGATCTTCCTTGAATGGATTATCCAAGGCATGTACGCAATGAAAAACCATGATAGCTCTTTGCACATAAACATTAATAAATAAATAAATGGACAACAGGTACATGAAGAAATGCTCAGCATCTCTAATCATTGTGGAAATGCAAATTAAACCACAATGAGATATCACCTTACACCTCTTTGAATGACTGTTATCAAAAAGATTAAAGATAAGAGTTGGCGAGGATGCTGAGAAAAGGAACTCTTGTACATTATTGGTGGGAATGTAAATTAGTATGGCCATTATGGAAAACAGTATGGAGTTTTCTCAAAAATCTAAAAATAGAACTGCTCCATGATTCAGCAATCCTACTTGTGGGAATATATGAAAATGCACTGTAGTCAATATGTTGAATGAATAGCTGTATTACTCACAATTGCTAAATTCAATCTAAGTGTCCATCATCAGATGAATGGGTAAAGAAAATGTGATCTATAAATACAATGGAATATAATATTTAGCCTTTAAAAAAAGGATGGACATTTTGTCATTTGTAATTCTGAGGATAAACCTGAAGGACATTATGCTAAGTGAAATAAGCCAAGCTCAGAAAGATGAATCTCTCGTGATCTATGTCAAAGCTAAAAAAGCTAAACTCAACAATAGAGAGTAGAATGTTACCAGAGGCTGGGGCAGAGGGCAAGAGAGAATGGGGAGTTGTTGGTCAAAGGGCGCAAAGATTGAGATAGACAAGAGGAATATGTTTTGAAGTCTACTGAACTACAGGGTGACTGTAGTCAATAATAACATATTGTATATTTCAGAATAACAGAAAGAACAAAATTTAAATGTCTCATCATAAAAATGATAAGTAAGGGAGATGATGGATGTATTAATTAGCTTGATTTAATCACTCCACATTGTAGGCATGTATCAAAGAGTCACACTGTACCTGTTAATATGTATGAGGTTTGTCAGTTTAAATAATAGTAAAAGGAGGGAAGAGATCTTTTTTCAGACAAGAAGATGCAAATATTTTAAGGTATCAGTTCTCTCTGAACTGATCTATAGATTCAGTGCAATTCCATTCAAATTTTCAGCAGAATTTTCTTAGAACTTGACAAGTCAATACAAAAATTTATGTTGCACAGCAAATGGCCATGATTGCCAAGGCACAACTGAATAAGAAGTGAGGAAAATTAGCCTAGTTTATACCAAAATATATCCCGGAATTGTGGTGATTAAGCCACTCAAAATTATTGGCACAAAAGTGGACAAGTAGACAAATGGCATAGAGCAGAGAGCTCAGCAACAAATCCAAACCTAAACAGAAGGCCTACTGGGTCAGAGGTGACGGTGCGTGTATTAGTGTGGAAAGGAAGGTCCATTCAGTAAATGTTGGCACGGTCATTATCTGTTGAGAAGAAAATTAAATAGAACCACTACTGCATTTTATAACAAAAATAAAATCAAAGTGTTAAACCTATGGGAGAATTTATAGAAACCTATAAATTTTCTATAGGTGAGTCCTTAAAGAAGAATTGAATTGTGTCCTTTGTTCACCGATAACTAAAATGTCTGTGGGATTGTTTTTCAGATACCTTTTTCCAGCCTGTATCATGGTACCTGGCTACCAAAGTACTGGGAATACTCTGCTGTGGTCTATTTTTTGGCATTGTTGGACTGAAGATTTTTTTCTCCAAATTCCAGGGTAAGCGAGAGAGAGAAGCATGGGCTGGCGACTAATATTCATGGTTCCAGCAGGGACAGGATCAGAGATGCTCCCACATCCCAGCTGCTTCTCTTCCTCTAGTCCTAGCCTCCAGGGGCCCAGGCCCAAAAAAGTAATCACCGGTCTGTAGGGTATTCGAACAACTCTTCCTCGGCAAATATCAACTACGACAGGCCCTTGCTACTTCATTTAGGCCAAATAATAAGGGGATGAATGATTTTCAGTACCTATAGAGCTTGGATAATTTTCCATGAACACCACCAAGACTCCTATTAAAAGGTTTTAATGTGGCGAACAAGTTCATAAAGGAAGAAGTCAAAGTGGCTGACAATAAGATAAAATTATATTCAGTCTCAATAAGACTTTTTACCCCCAAAACCAATTTCTTCCCCCTTGGGAGTGACACTTCTCCCGGGGATGAGGCCGCCCCCGCCCCCCCCCCCAGCCGCCTTCTCCCACCTCCATCCCCCCGCCTCCCCTCCCAGCCGCCTTCTCCCACCTCCATCTCCACCTCCACAGCATCCCAGCTGTTGTCCTTCTCCTTAGCATGAACCTTCCTGATCTCTTGCTCCCCCCAGACAGCTACGCTCCGTGCGGGGGCTGCGGAGACGAGCACATGTAAGTGTTCTAGGAGAGGCCCTGCCCTTCACACCCGCAGCTTGTCCCACCTGTGCAAGCAGCCAGGGTCATGTTTGTACCTTGCACACTCCTGTGTCCACCACTGAATACACTGTTTCTGTTTCAGGGAAAATCCAGGCAGAATTGGGTAAGTGTGTGTCACGTCCTGAGCCTCCCACACATGGTTCTCCCGGGTCCCTCCCTGATCCACAGCGTGAGCCTCTGGAGACCCCGGCTCCAGGCTGGACAGGAAGTACCGGCAGGGGGAGGAGAGCAGCTGCCTCGCTCTCTCCATCCACGGCTACTGAGTTGCCCCTCAGATATCTGGAGGGCTTAGGATAGGCCTCAGGGCCTGGAAGTCCCCGTCTGTGCCTGTTGCCCGTCGGTCCGCTCTGGGTGTGGTGGGGGGAGGTGTTGATCACGAGCTCTGAGGGTGCGTGGACCACAGGGAGGAACCTGAGAAAAACTGGTGGGTGATCCTCAACCTCCCTGGCCTGATGCTTTGAGACTTTACCCAGTCCTGTATCAACCACTAAATCGTCTGCTTTTTGTTTCGTGCGAACTGCAGGATAAACTGGGTGAGAGTGTTATCACATGCAGGGCTTTCCTCCCACGCTCTCCCTGGGCCCCGCTCTGTGATGCCAGCCTCTTATGTGTGTTTTGTTTTTGTTTTTCAGACTGGAGAAGAAAGCACGGACAGGCAGGTAAAAGAAAATATTCCTCTTCCCACACTTATGACTCCTTTCCAAGTCTCTCGTTTATGGATTTTTATATCCGGAGGCCCACGGGTCCCTGCAGAGCCAAGCTTGTGATGGGAACTCTGAAACTGCAGATTCTGGGGGAGGTGCATTTTGTAGAGAAGCCCCACAGCCTTCCTCAGATCTCTGGAGGGCCCACGACACTCAAAAAAGGTCCTAATCCTTGGTGTCTCCCTTCTCCCTGAGGCCTGTTTCCCACCTGAGCACTGAACTGCCTGCTCTGTCTGCTTGCTTTCAGAATTGAGAGATGCCCGGAAACAAGCAGGTACCGACGCCTGGTCGGGTGACGGTGGGACAGAATCTCAGGTGGACATGAGAGGGCGAGCTGAAGAGGGACAGATACGGGAACACAGAGTGATGCTGAGACCCATCCTGTCTGCAGATGGAGAAACTGGAATGCTTGATAGCTCCCAAGAGTGCAGTGCCCCCAGACACACTTCTTCCCCTGGGTCTAGAAGGGGAGGAGACAAGGGCTGGGAGATAGGGGGAGTCTTTGGCACAGTTTCAGGGAATTGAGGGCACTAGTGACTGGTCAGGGGTCTGAGCTGGGGGAAGGAAGTAAAGTCAGGTAGAAAATTCTGAGTGGGAGGAAGTTAGATAGTGGAGTCCCTCTAGCTCTTATGAAACAAATAGTTTTATGTGTGAAGGACAGTGGCAGGGTTGGGTGATATGCCGAGATTGGGACGTCATATTGGGACATTTCTAGACGTTGATGGGTCCTCCAGGCTGCACTGGTGATGAGAGAATCTGAAAGGCAGTGTCTGAGGGAGGCTCAGGTCCGGGGCCTCACCTATGCCACCCAGAGCCAGTCTGCAGCGGGAGGGTCGACCTCTTGTTCCAGCCCAGATTTCCTCTTCAGTAACTCACGCTTCCTCTCTCCCCCACCGCACCCCAGTGGAGGTGACGCTGGACCCAGAGACGGCTCACCCACAGCTCTGCGTTTCTGATCTGAAAACTGTAACCCATAGAAAAGCTCCCCAGGATATGCCTCCCTCTGAGAAGAGATTTATAAGGAAGAGTGTGGTGGCTTCTCAGAATTTCCAAGCAGGGAGACATTACTGGGAGGTGGACGTGGGACACAATCAAAGGTGGTACGTGGGAGTGTGCCAGGATAACGTGAACAGGAGGAAGAAGAATGTGACTTTGTCTCCCAATCATGGGTACTGGGTCCTCGGACTGAATGCAGAAAATTTGTATTTCACGTTAAATCCCCATTTTATCAGCCTCTGCCCCAGGACCCCTCTGACACAAATAGGGGTCTTCCTGGACTATGAGTGCGGCACCATCTCCTTCTTCAACATAAATGACCAGTCCCTCATTTATACCCTGACATGTCGGTTTGAAGGTTTATTGAGGCCCTACATTGAGTATCCATCCCATAATGAGCAAAATGGGACTCCCATAGTCATCTGCCCAGTCACCCAGGAATCGGAGAGAAAGGTCTCTTGGCAAAGCGCCTCTGCAATCGCAGAGGCAAGCAACAGCGAGTTCTCCTCACAGGCAACCACGCCCTTCCTCCCTGGGAGTGATGCGTAGGACGAATCACACCTCACATTCTTCTTTAGGATACTAAGGTTTCTCTCCCAGATCCGAAGTCCCACAGCGGCCAGCCAAGGTGGCTTCCAGATGAAGGGGGACTGGCCTGTCCATATGGGAGTCAGGGGTCATGGCTGCCCTGAGTGGGGAGGGAAGAAGGCTGACATTAGATTTAGTTTGCTCTCACTCCATCCAGCTAAGTGATCTTGAAATAGTCACCACCTCTCAGGTGAGGAACAGTCAGGAATTCCCAACTCACAGCCTGTGGTGTAGATTAAGTAGACAATGAATGTGAATCATGCTTAGATCTTGTTGATGACAGAGTGTATCCTAATGGCTTGTTGATTATATGACACTTTTCATAAGGTCTTTGCTTCTTTCTTCCACATGAATTTATTGTTCCCTACTTCAAATCACCCATGAAACAGGCACGTGCTCTGTGCCACAGCCAAGGAATTATAGGGAAGGGGGCACTTCCATTTAATTCTATAGAGCCCACATTACCTTCATACCAAAACCAGACAATGACATTACAAGAAAAGACAGGAAAACTACATGTCCATATCCCCCATGAACTTAGACACAAATGTTCTAATTAAACTTTTAGCAAACTGAATCCAGCAACACATTCCAAGAATAAGACATCACTACCAAATGTGGTTTTTCTCATATGTGGCTTAATATTCAGATATCAACCAGTATAATTAACCACATCAACAAACTGAAAAAGAAAACGATACGATCACTTCGACAGATGCAGGAAAAATTACACCTGTGAGCAAAGAAGCCACACAGATGACAGGCCACGAAAAGACGCTCCACGTCACTGACGGGCCCACGAAAAGACGCTCCACATCACCGACGGGCCCAGGAAAAGATGCTCAACATCATAGTAATTGAGAAAACTCAAAACAATAATGAGATACCATTCCTACCTATTGGAGTGGTAATACAATTACATGGAATGATCATACCCAGTGTTGGCCAGAATGTGCAGAAATGGAGACTCACACCCTGCTGATAGGAATGTAAACGGGTGTAAAAATGTAAAAATGATTTTGGAAAACTGGCAGTTTCTTTAAAAGTAAACAGTCACCTAATGTATGGTCCAACCATCCCACTCTTAAGTATTTGTCAAGAGAAAAGGAAATGCATGTCTTGACAAAGCCTCGTGCATCAATATTCACAGAACCTCATTCCTAATAGTTGAAAGGTGGAGACAGCCCGGATACTCACAACAGATGAGCAGATAAGCGAACCGTGGTGCATCCATGCATCAGGGGCTCCATGACAGTCAACAATGAACTCTTTGGAAGGGCAGTGAAGGATCGTCACACAGCTGTTGTGGGTGCAGGAGGTGGTGGACTCTGTGGTGAAGAGTCTGGACAGAGAATATCCAGTAGATCCAGGTGAGCAGCCCGAGACTCAGCCAAGGCGTGGCCAAGGTGAAAGACCAGAAAGGCAAAGGCTCCCGGCCTCCCGGGTGGCCTCGTTCCGCTGCAGTGCCAGCTGTTGTGAGGACAGTCAAGCATCCACGCAGCAGGTGCAGCAGTGCACTGAGCACTGCCAAGCGCCTCTGACTCAAGCCTAGGCCTTGGTGACCAGCGAGCTGGAGACGTTCTGGGACCACCTGGCCTGGTGCCTCCTGCGTTGCTGTGACAAAGCTGAAGATTCAAGCGGGGAGTAAGGAGCTTCAGGTGAAGCAACCACTGGACGGCTGAGTGACCAAGTGTGTGGATGGCCACGTACACCTCATCCCGACTATGAGCAAGGAGATGAAGGAGTCTCTCATCCTCTGGGAAATAAAAGTCTTTGCCAGTAGCCCTCACAACAGCTGGCACTGCAGCGGAACGAGGCCACCCGGGAGGCCGGGAGCCTTTGCCTTCTGGTCTTTCACCTTGGCCACGCCTTGGCTGAGTCTCGGGCTGCTCACCTGGATCTACTGGATATTCTCTGTCCAGACTCTTCACCGCAGAGTCCACCACCTCCTGCACCCACAACAGCTGTGTGACGACCCTTCACTGCCCTTCCGAAGAGTTCATTTGTTTAAACGGAATAGGAGGCTGGGCGCGGTGGCTCACGCCTGTCATCCCGGCACTTTGGGAGGCCGAGACGGGCGGATCACGAGGTCAGGAGATCGAGACCATCCTGGCTAACACGGTGAAACCCCGTCTCTACTAAAAATACAAAAAATTAGCCGGGCGTGGTGGCGGGCGCCTGTAGTCCCAGCTACTCAGGAGGCTGAGGCAGGAGAATGGCGTAAACCCGGGAGGCGGAGCTTGCAGTGAGCTGAGATCCGGCCACTGCACTCCAGCCTGGGCGACAGAGCGAGACTCTGTCTTAAAAAAAAAAAAAAAGGAATGGGAATTTTAGTCTTTTAAGCCAGGTTTACGAAGGAAGAAGTTAAGAATGGCAACAAGCGAAAGGCACGCGTCACCCTCCTCCGCACACCGGGTCTTTTATGTTCAGTCCTAAAAAGTGAAATGGAAAAACTAGCGCTAAGTTGGGTCAGGGATATTCCAGGAGAGGGTTTCAGACATCATGTTTCCTGTGGCAGCAGGATCTCTCTTGTAACAGGCCAGAGCCCTCCACACTACCAAATTCCTCTTGCCACACAGGGACCACCAGCTGGCAGGTTAGATCTGATGGTGTTTGAGGAGAGGTGTTTCTGTTTGTTGTCACATCCTGTTTCCCAAAGTGTCACCGCAACATTTCCCACAACCTGTCACACAAAACCCATGAGGTCACTAGCTTGGGGGAAAAAAAGTTTTCTGGGTCTTTGTTTTCTTGATTTTGTGTAATGTATACGTGGAATAAAAGTTGATTTTAAGGTGTGGAATTGGGAGGGAGAGCAGTTTGGATAAGAACTTTGAAAGGTTCCTCGTGGATACTCTTTCTGCCCATCAAGATGTGGATGTGCAGTTCTTCTGCAAATTATTACACATTGCAAATTATTACACACTGCATCTTTCAACCTGGAGACCATGCGAAAAACACAAGAGGCAACACAAGAGGTCACACTAATTATGGGAAGCAGAGCTTCCCTCTTACTGGCTAATAGGCCTTGAGGCTGCCTGGAGCAAAATGACAAGAAAACCTTACAGCAGCACTTTTCCCCTCAGAAAGAAGGGGAGTTTGACTGTGATATATACTAGCATCCTGGAACGAACAGTGAAAGAGGAGCTGTTGGCTACTTGCTTATAAGAGAGTTATGATGCACTGAATCTGGAAAAACCTGGTTTTCATAGAACAGAACACAATGAAAGCCTAGACCCAGCGTTGCTTACCTAGCCCCCTGAATTAACAATCGAGACAAACCTCTGGCAACAGGAGGTAAGGGAGGGAGAAAAATAAGCAACTTGGGCTAGGATGGGCGGTGACTCCCTTAGAGCAAAGGAGAGGCAGCCCCCTACTACCAAATGCCATTTTTGCCTGGGGCCTTTGTGGCATCCAGTGTTCCTGCCCCAGCATGGCATCTTACTGTTTTGATAGCAAACTCATTGTATTTTTACCAACTGAATACTTGTAATGATAATATAGCCTGTCCGTTTGCTGTTTTCAGGCTGTGATATATTTTCCTAGTGGTTTGATTTTAAAACTAAATGAAGTTTAATTTGCTCCCTGCCCCTCAAAAATGAACTATTCATGCACACAACATTGATGGAGTTCAAAATAACTACTCCCAGTGAAACAAGGTAGACAAAAAAAAAAATACAGTCTGTGTGATTCCATGTATATGAAACTCGAGAGAATGCAAACTAATCTACAGTGAGAAAGCACATCAGTGGTTGCTTGGAGGGGAGGGAGGGGCGGGAGGAAGGCACAAGGATGCTTTTGGAAGTGACGGTATATTCACTATCTCGATTGTCACTTTGGTGGTGACGGATTATGGACATATTCATAAATCAAATATAATCAAATTGAACACTTTAAATGTGTACAGTTTATGTCAACTATACCTTAATAAAGCTGCTTTTAGAAATATTAAGCACCACGACCAACAACAGCCAACAGCTATTGGGTCACAGATACTACAGGAGAGCGTTTTAGACCTTACGTTTCATGTGGCCAGTGCTTGTGCTGAAAGCAGGGATCTGCCTTGTAACAAGCCAGAGCCCTCCACAGTTCCAAATGCTTCTTACTACACAGGGACCACCGGGCTGGACAGAGAGAATATCCAGAAGACCCAGGCGAGCAGCCTGAGGCCCAGCCAAGGCGTGGCCAAGGTGAAGGACCAGAAAGGTGAAGGCTCCTGGCCTCCGAACCTCATCCTTTGAGTGCTATGCCCATGTTTAAAAACGTATGCTTTATTTTAAAGAGCAGTTCTAGGTTCATAGAAAAGTCACATGGAAAGTACAAAGAGTTCCCATATACCCTCTGCCCGCACAGGTGCACAGCTCTCCCTGCTGTCCACATCCCACCAAGAGTGGAACACTGCAACTACCAATAAACCTGTGTTAACACCTCATTATCACCCAAAGTCTGCAGCTAACACTAGCATTCACTCTTGGTGTTGTACGTTCTATGGGTTTTGGCAAATGGATAATGACATGGATTTATCATCACTGCATCACACAGAATGCTTTCTTTGCCCCAAAAATCCTCTGTGCTCTGCTATTCCTGCTTCCCTCACCACTAACCTCTGGAAATCACTGGTCTTTTTACTATTTCCAGAGTTTTGCCTTTTCTGGAATGTCATATAGTTGGAATCATACAATATGTGGTCTTTTTAGATTGTTTTCTTTCACTTTATAATATGAACACTCACATTTTTAAAATCACAGTAATATGCCTGATACACTACTATTCATTTATTGATTTTATGGAACGTCCAAGTCTGTGGGTACTCAGGTACCTGAGCGTAGACAGTGTCAAGAGGGGGAGAGGGATGTGCTTCTTAACGCAGCATCTGCTGAGTGAGAAGAGGTGACTGCCAGGTGATTGGCAGCTCCCAGGAGGTGCCAATGTTCAATCCCTCTGGCCTTACCCCAGGGAGCTTGAGGGTGATTGAAGTGAAAATCCACAGGGTCTTCCACAGTCCCTTCTCCGTAGCGCTGGGAGAGCGTGTCTTAAAGCAGCTGTAGATGGAATACCACTTGGTTAAAAAGAAGGAACAAGCTATTGATACATGCAACATTTTTGATGTATCTTGAAGGCAGTATATTCAGTGAAAAAAGTCCATCTCACCAAGTTACATAGTATATGACTCCATTTACATAATATTCTCAAAATCACAAAATCATAGAGAGGAAGAAAAATAAGTGGTTTCCAGGAATTAGGAAAGGGGGGAAAGGTGTGTGTTTTAGTCTGTTTTCACACTGCTATAAAGAACTACCTGAGACTAGGTAATTTATAAAGAAAAGAGGTTT